TGTGTGTGTGTGTGTGTGTGTGTGTGTGTGTGTGTGTGTGTGTACTGTAGATAAGGATCACGCCCTTCTTTCACAACACAAAATAGGCATAAAGATCTGTATTTACTTACCCACCCCTTTAAAGACATAAAGCAAACTCGCCTTTCATTTGATCTTATGAGCAGAAAAATATGAGCAGAAAAAGTGCAATGTGCTCTATCCTTTATTTTTTTTGTGTGTGTTCCCTTTTCAACCATCGGCAATTTGGCCAATGTCACGGTTTTAATTTTCTTACTCGAATGAGTTTGACTTGAATGCTCTCCAAAATGAGTTAGGGAGGGTGTTTCAAACTCAAACAAAGCTTTTCCAATGTCCACACCCGTCATTTTCTCTGTTTACTCTTCAACTGGAGAGTCACCATAAATTCAGGATGGCTTAATCCACTAAAAAAGGCCAAAGGGCAAAGGTCTTGCCCCCTTTTTTTTCTACAAAATTAAACACTGATGAGAGGCATTGATACAACAGGATACTGAATGTGACTGCTCAGCTTCTGAAAAACCTTACATCAAAGTACTTTGAATTGTCTTGTCGACGAAATGTGCCTCGTCTTCCCTTACATCGGCATGGGTGCGTTTCCTCCAGCAAAAGAGAGAGGCAACACCTTTCCTTTGTGTCTTTCCCGGCTATTTGATCAATCCCCGCGTTGCAACTGTGATTAATTACCTTGAGCACATTATTCTTGATAGACCTATCACTGTCAGCAGCAGAGCTGAGCCTGACAGCTTCCGGTGGCATCTCGTCTTTTGGAATCAATTTAGGCGGAAAGAGGACCCCTGTCAGCCATTAGGACTAATTGTGACTGCTTACTCAGCAGCCTTTACTCCTGAGGTGAGATAACATTGTATCCTTTGGAAAAGCAAGATTTTTACTCACAAGGCTTCAATATAGAATACAATTCAAACAGTATGTTTGAGGTTTGAAGAAAGAAACATTTTGTTGAAAAAGACTGAGAACTGGTTCCTTGTAATAAATCAGCTGTCAAAGGATGAACAGATCCTCCGTCCATTCAGGGATTCCCACTGTTGCCTCATAAAAGGGCCATGCACAAGAGTAATACTAAAAATATTGGAGGTAGATAACCCAAAACACACCAGAATGTGAACACAGCTTATAGACCGGTCATTAGGTTTCAAGATGGTTGTAAATATGTAATAAACAAAATAGACGCTGCTGAGAACACTTTAACGGTTTAACAAAAGCGTATGTATTGGCGCAAAAGGGCCGAGATGGAAGTGACCCTGGCCCATCTCTGCCTGCAGATAAGAAAGCCTAATACCTGCTGACACACAAACGGGCAAACACTCCTCTATCTTTCTCTCTCGCTTGCACACCAACTCACAAACCCAAAAGTCAAGGCCAGGGGAGGCAGGCGGTGTGGTCAGCGAAACTGTAACACCCTCACGAGTTTTCTGCTCAGACACAAAGCGGATGAATGACGGACAAACGTAGACATACCTTCTACAGCGCTACCCGAATGTGAATAATTCATCACAAAACCAGGAAGTACAGTAGGTAATGTTTCCATGACCCGGTGCACGCATCGAGCTGAAACTGTTGACGTGCAGAAGTGGAGTCTTCCTGAGTCTCTGTACACATCAGTTCAACAGCTTTTCCTACTGATATCCAGCACAATGCCAACCCGGCTGCCTGCTGTCCAGGAAATAAATCCACTTACAAGCTTTCATTCATTCGGTCCTCCTCCATTTTTTTTATTTATTTATTTTTAGATCTCACTGTGTTGAAACCCCAATTGACTCACTGTGTGAACCTCTGCTTGGCTCTAATAAGACGCACCTGTTTCACCCGTTTTGTACTTTGTTGTTTTTCTAAAGCTGTATATTTTTTGGAAAAATTCAGGAACAATCTTTAGAAATGAACGGACAATTTAAAGATCTTCACTTGTACTTATTGCTGAGAGACACTTCCTCTCGCAGGTGCTTTTTTTCAGGGCACAGAAATTAAAGTAAAAACTTTAGATGGTCAGGGATCTACAAAGAAAAGTTGTGCACGTTCAACCAGACTTTGCAGAGTTATCTATCTGAAATCGTCAAAAACGGCTGTACAACATGAACTTGTGTCCTTTTTGCCACAGTGAAAAACATAACAACACAGCCTCCGGTTTCACCTGTCTTCGAACTAATTTCATCTTTAAAGTGTAATGAGTTTGCAATATTCTTTAAAGACAAAGTTCAAGGCCCTAAATATATACACATTTCTAAAACACAAATAATTACTCTGCAGCCTTTTAAGACTGTTAGACGCCTTCGAGACTGTTGACAATGCCCTTTTATTACAGACGACTGGGTGGGAATCTCTGGTACAGCTTTAAACTACCTACCTACCTTGAGGACAGGTGGAACTTTGTTCAAATTGGGAACTGTGTCTCTGACTGAATGAACGAGCTATAGACAGCTGCAGAACATCCAGAATGTTGGTGCTAGTCCTGACCACAACCAGGAAATACGACCATATCAGTCAAGTGCTCAGGTCTCTGCACTGGCTTCCTGTCGCTCGGAGAATAGACTTTAAAACAGCCCTGCTTGCGTACAAGTCTCTTCAGGGTCTAGTCCCAAAGTGCATCCCTGGCATGCCAGAGCCATCTGAACCAAGTCAGTGTTTCAATCCAGGCTGAAATCAGTTCTAGTTAGCTGTGCGTATGACAACTGGAGGTATTTCATCTGCACTCATCGCCAGTCAGTGATTTTTTCCTTGTATCTCACTAGCTTTTTTCTAAGTTATTCTTAATTTCTGCTTTTAAACTCACACTTTTTAATGCCTTTTTTTTTCAAATCTTTTATGTAAAGCACTTTGAATTGTCTTGTAAACAAAATGGTTGATATAAATACATTTGGCTTGACTTGACTTTTTAAAGTACCGTACTTACTTTTAAGCAAATATGACTTTGCTGGTTACAACGCTATCCTTTTTCTTTCTGCAGACTTTTAGACAGAATGCACGCATGAAGATAACTGCAAGACAACGTGTCATCTAAAGTCTCTGAGAATTTTGGACCTGACATCGGATGCCCGAGCTCTTCAGGCCCCCGGGGGACAGTGTATTGAAAACAGGCCTGACTCTGTCAGGAGAATCACTGCATGGGCTCTGGAGCACTTCCAGAGATGCTTGTTCACAATGTCATCCATGACTGCAGACCAAAGCTCTCATCTCGAAAAGGTGAAGCCTCTGGAGCAAAGCAAACTGTTCTACGATCCAACAAATCCCCACATAAAAAGAAAACAATGGACATGAGCGACCAACCGGCCTGTTAGCAGCTCTTACTTTAAAACGCTGCATCTCTGATGGTGCATTAGTGCTTCCGGAAGACGCGAACTGCTGAGCAACCATTATTGCATCCTGCAATTTCTCTCTGATAGCGGTCCGACAACCGGAACCCACGTTCCCCCAATGTTTACGAAAAGATGAGAAGATGGTACGCAGTTGTAAACAATTTTCCTTTAAACGTTATTGCGATCAATTAAAAAATAAGCTGAAATGCTTTGCAAAGCATCCCAACATTTTGTGTGGAACCGAGGTTAAATGACAGATAGTAGGTTAAACGACCCAATAATTGCTCATTTAAACCCATAATGTTTCTAATCGTGAAGAATGGCCTTGGACTGGTGACCTGTTCAAGGTGTAGACCGCCTCTCGGCCAATGTCAGCCGGAATAGGTTCAAGCCCTCCTCCCCCCCGCGAGGACATGTTTAGCAATAAGCGCTACTGATGGATGGATGGATTACTACAAAAGAGAGAGAAATGTTTGTTATGACAAAACCATCTCCTCCTGCTTCCCCACACAGTTGTATAAACATTCCAACAATAATTTTACTACAAACAGCAAATGCAAGCAGCCTTCATTACTTTGCTGTGTATGTCTGTGTATACATGTGTACTGTACACTCTCTGTCCCGTCCCAACTATCTACAAGGCTGTCAGCTACAAGGGCAGAGCTGCAGGGGCTGTAAGGAAGATGTATGGAAGAATATGACCCCCACCCTCCTCCTCTTAAACAGTAAAGCACTTCGGACTGCCAAGCCGCCTCCCCTCATCAGCTGGGCTGAATACAAAACAACGGGGGGGACCAAAGGGGGGGGGAATGGCGCGCGTATGTACGTGCGTGCATGGCGGGGCTCTTCTATTAAATGGTGTTTCAAAGAGTCCTTGAGCGTACCTGCCAAAACCAGACCGGGGCAATATACAAGGAGTTGTAAAACCTGCCAGTGTGGGACTGTGCGCGCGCGCGAGTGCTTGTGTCCACCACAATGTCAGCCAAGATACTAACGGCGCTCTTATTCCGGGGCTTGGTCCGCTGCCATGTCTCGGCCGCGAAAGTCTTGCCGAGAGGGGCGGGTGCGTCGATGAAGGAGTGAAAAAGAAATGGAGGCTGAAAGGAATTACGTTTGTTCCCTTTAAAGTGCCCTACTCCAAAATAAAACGTCACAGAGATTACAAATGCTGCCATTGTGGAATGTTGAGACACCTTACATGGAAAGAAATAAAAGCGTAAGGTAACATGAGGTGATCATAGATCAACCTGTCAGCGAAATGCTGACAAAAACGATGAATCGTTATCGGAATCGAAGGCCTTCGGCACTTGCTTTACCCCATCATTTTAAAATTGTAAAGTCAAAGTTGTCAAACTTACTTTTTCCTCACATTCTCAGGTTCCAGTGTCAGAAACCTTACTTTGTAATGGTTTTTGACACTTACTCCATCAAACAGTTTCAGCTTAATATAAAATAGAGCAGGACATGCAGCCATAGCCAACACTGGTTTCGTGCTATGGCATTTGAAGTGTGTTGCTAACTGGCAACAATAAGATAAATGCACCCAGACACTTTCGTACGTGGACCACAAAAATAACTGGATGATTCTTATCATTGTATGATTTCCAGTCTGATATGTCATTTAAATTCAAAGCATGCTTTATTGCCCTAGTAGCGGTAAATAACTTTGGGTTTGGGTTTGATTTAAATGGATAGGATTTGATTATAATTGTGTTCACATTTCTTCGAAATGTGAGGAGAATAATGAAGTAAAAAGTAACTGATTTGTTCAAATATTTGCATTAAACGTAATTAGTTTTTTCCATAAAAAGGCACTTTAAAATGTAATACAGACTGCGATATGATTTGTTAAATCATGTATATAACAATGCGATTAATAGAAAAAAAAATCACGCGTTTAATCCCGATTAAAAAGTTGAACAATTGGCAAAGGCACTTCCTGTCAGATAGCCTTTTTTGTGGGGAATGCATGGTGAAGGACGGTCACATGATTGTTTGGGAGTTGCTGAGAGGGATGGCAGCAGATTGCACGGAATTAAAGAGAAAGTTTTATAGCGTCATTACATTCACTCAGACAACATTCGAACTCTACACATTCGACCTCTTTTATCATCTCCATGTTTTCCCTCTGTGCTGTCTCATCCCATTCCAAACCTAATGCATGATTTTACTCTCATGGCTCTCTCTCTCTTCAGATAAAAGGCTCCATTGTATTTCCTGAGATGCCCTGGAGTGCTTAGCTCGGCAAGCCTGCGCACGGTGGATGTGTGTGTCCGAGTCAGAGAACAGCTGTCACATTCAGCCGTCACATGCTGTGCAGCTGAGACTTGCCTACTTTCAGGATGGTCCTCTTTTCAGTGCTTTGTCACACCTTTTTTTCCCCAACTCCCTTTGATTAATTTATTACACATTTGTCTCTGTTGATGCTGTGACGTGTCCATTATTTAAACGAGGTTTTCACAGATTCTGATCTCGACACTCTAAAAGTATGAAGGGAACAGAGAGGGATTTTTAAAACCTCCCACTTTATTCTTTCTAGTCCAGACGGAGTAGGAGTAGTTGAGCCTCCGAGCCAAATAGCGGACTGAACACAATGACGATCAGACAGATTTCAGCCTGTGGATGTTGGGTTATTTCATTTTGGTTCTCGATTTTATTGATGCAGACGCACTCATCTAATACGGCCTACTCGACACTTAGCTGTTTAGTGTTGAAAATGAATCGTGGTTTGCCTAACTTTATGCTGACTGACGTTCATGTGATGTGTTTTTTTTACTCACAATGAATACGGTTTTTATCACCCTGTCAAACGACCACTTTTAACATTGCAAATTGTCTAACTAAGTTACTAATATGTCTAAAATGTCTGAATCGGGCAATAGGAGTTTGTCATTTCTTCCAAATCAACAAAATATTATCAATGCTCGATTCTAGGATTTGTTCCACCACAAACCTCCCAGCTGCACACGCTCCTCATACAACAGAATGTCAAAACTTTTTAAAACAGTATAAACTCTGTTCCCCTGACCCTGGAGTCTAAGTCGAAGTTGCCGATTGACCATCAACTCACGAAAGCAACAGTCCCTCTCAGCGTTCCACATAGGGGCGCCCCATTAGCTCACTCAGACCCGATTTGGCTTTTCTTATTGACCGGACGAAACAGGTAAATATGGGCGTAACAGGTTACCTTTAACAGGTTACCATTACTGCGGGGGGCAATGTGGATGGAACAGAAGGTCAATTAAACAATGGAGCAGGAAATAGACAATAAAGATCATCAAGTTTAAACACACCCTACTAACCATCTTTTGGAAGGTTGTATAAGCATGAGGCTGATTTCTTAAGGGATGCACACAACTGACGCAGTAAACGCACATATGTCTTAAAGTTAAAGAAATGGGTCATTGTTTTGTCCATGGCAGTTTTCAATTAACTTAGTGTGCTTAAATTGGGAACCATTGTATATTCAGAGCCTGTGCGGGAGCTAAATTATCACCACCTGCAAGGGAAAAAGCCTTGAACAACAGCACCATGATGATATGAAAGTACATGCTTCATGAGACTGGACTGGTACACAGTTCCTGACAAAAAAAAAGGTCCTTTTGAAATAACATTGAAATCAAATAATCTTGTCTCCGTCTGTGAGTGGTTGGTGTTAGATTCAAAGACATTAACGTGAATTTCGATCTTAAAAGAAGAAGGAAAAAGAAGGAAAAAAAACACCATATGTTGAGTTTGTTTTCCTGGTAATGAGAGCCAGTAGACAAAGTAGACTAGTTAAATACTTTCCATTTGCACTAAAAAGCCAGATGCTAGACGGTAAAAACATTGCTTTTCTGGAGTAGTGTAAAGGTATTGCTATATATTTGTCGTCATTACATTCACTTTATCTGTTATAAAAAATACTTCACGCATTATGTTCTGCTCGAGAGTATCCTCAAACGCCTCCACACATGAACATCTTTCTGGGAGTTGACAGGCATGACTCAAGCTTAAAATGACTTCAAATTGCATTCTGCCTGTGTACTGCAAAGCGGTTTCAATATTACACAGACACCGCGGTTCAGACATTTTGTTATCAGCTGACACGCACACTTACACATTTAGCAACGAGTGCTCAGCAATTTCTCATCTATCCCATCTCTGGAGGAATGTCTCTGTCTCCGGTCTTAGGAAGACAAATGAACACAAACTCCTGCGGGTGCGGGTGCACGCTAATGCTGTGTTGACAGCCAAACAGAAAATGAGACAATCTGACTGACAACCCGATCCCCAGGTCACCGAGATTGTAATTCAAGCTCCCTTCTAATGACCAGGAGGTCTCTGTCTGTCAGGCTGTGTGTGTGTGTATGTGTGTCTGTGTGTGTGTTTGTCAAAGGATGCACAAAAGCCTCACCACTAATCTCCCTCTTATACATCATCAATTATCTTTTTTTGACTCCCAAAACAAACAAAAAGAGACGGATCAATGTAGGAGTGATGAAATACCAACCCAGGCAGTGCGAGTTCAAGTCCCAACAACATACTTTGGCATCTGGTGACACACCTACATAAACACATTTTTTTGACTATCCCTGTAGGTAGAAATCCGACCGAAATCACTACCTTTGGAGAAATAAGATGGCTCTCAAAACATTTCATTAAACTTATTAGTTCAGGTCTAAAAAGGGTAATAATCTGTATCCGTGTGCTGGTGTTAGGACTTGAGTGTCCTCACTCAGACGGGACTCCAAAAGGCTGTGTCATCCTTTTGTAAATGAAAGTTCTGAAAGCAAAAACAAACTGAACTGAAGTACATCTAATCACATTTGAGGACATGCATTCTGCATGGGACCATATTGGAGAATCAGTTTTCCTAATAAAGTAGTTGGAAGTACAGGAAATAGTCAACTGTTACTTTGGTGGGTAAACTTTCTTTTCTTTTTTTTTTTAACAATACACCTGCCTGGTACATTCTACTCCGAGCCAGCTGTCAGTTACTCAATAGATACACCACATGAAGAAATATATGCCCAACTGCATCTTTACTTGTTTTCGTGGTGTTTTTACCTCTGCGTTGAAGGAACCCTCGTCCTCAGCTCCACGCGCTCCGACCGCTAACAGCCACAGCGCGAGCAGGGTCCGTCTCCACGGCAACCAGAAGCAGCTGTCTCGTGAGGCAGAGGCCATTGTCTTTGCGTCGTTGAGGGAAACCCGTCGCCGTTCGTTTGCGGTTCAATGCCAACGGTGAAATGCGTTGAGCACGGCCAGTTTTTTTTTTTTTTTTGACGCACAAAATTGTTAATTTGTGCGTCAAATTCAAAGCTACCGGTCGTGGTGTGTCCTGCGGCAGACTAGGCACGTAAAAGTCTTCAAGAGTAGGCTACGTTTGCGTCACTTGAAAGAACTCCATCACACTTTTATGACATTATAGTTGACCCTCCGCCGGTTACACGGGCCCACACCGATTTACCCACAAGTTCTTAGACTTAAAAATCCCTTCTCTTTTAGATTCCACTTTGTTATCTGAAGTTAACAAGCGGGAGCTCACGCCTAGCTCAATTTATTTTCCAAGGATTCCAATTAATTACTAGCCTTGAACGTGCACTTTGAAATAATTTAAACATTTAACGTATGTCGAGCACTAGCCATAATTAACCCACCGGCTTTATTAGAGAAATATCTATTAGAGAAAATAAGAAAATCACTTAGTGCCAACATCTCTTGATCCACTTCTTTCAAAAATACCACCACGATGAAGCGAGACTGAATTTGCCCAAATAAAAGTTTCAAATAGTCAACGATAAAAACCCAAAGTTCTCTACGTTGGACGGATTCTACCGGCTCAAAGTAAGAATTTAAACGAACAAAACAGTAGTGGGTCCCGGCATTTCGTTCCTAACATATTATGTTGCCCTTTAAGATCAGTTTTCCCTTTTTCTCGTTCGGTATCCTCTCAAAAGCCGGCATTAAGAGTTCCCCTACAGCCTGTCCTCACACCGGCTCTGTGCCGTCACCCTACCGCTGCAGGTCGGACTGTGAAGCGGCGGTCGCGTTGTTTCGGTACCCAGCGTGAAGCGTAGAGAGCGTGAAGTTTCCAGCATCAAGTGACGGAAATACTAAGCACTTCCGGTTAGAATTTTCAGAATAATATGCCATTATCTTTACTGTAAAATCCTTAAAAAATAAATTTAAAAAAGAAAAGATTCGCCTTTAAAATGTTGTGCTACAAAACTGTAGACAATTTATTTTCTCCCAACAAAACTTTATGTTCAATCCGCTTTTATCATTTTAAAGTCAACACACATAATGATTCGCTTAACTAAATGAGCCTTGTTTGGTGAGTCTTATAGACATTATCAAAATAAAGGGGAGTGTAATTCGACATAAGATGGATTTGTTCATTTGAAAAAAAAGTTCCTTCTCTGCCTTTTAGTTTGATGTCATGATTTCTCTGGTATGTTGTTCAGTCATCACAATATTTCTAACATCCGGTTTTATATGGCTCAAAGGGGTTAGTGGGATGGACCCCATCCCAGCTGACAAAGAATAGAGGCTGGGTACACCCTGAACATTTTGCCAGTCCAGTGTAGGCTCTGCTTTATGATGAGATTAAATGTTTTTTGCATTCATTCCACTACCAACGTAGTGATAATCCATGTGGAAATAAAATATAGGACAAGAAAAGAAATAGTTTTAGGTGTTTTAACATTTTACTTTTGATTTTCTACTGGTGATTGCTGGTGCAAGATATGATCAGTACAAAGTCAGTTCTTGAGGGATGAAGGGGCTGTACAGTACTTCAGTATGAGGATTAAAAGGAAAATACCCAGTGTCTCATAAACACATTTGGTTCTCTTTTATGTAATCCATCACATACGATACATATTGCTCTATTTAGGTGCATTTCTGATATGTAGATCACCTGGTTTGAGGGACACCTGTCTATTCAGCTAGTAAACCACCTGATAGATAAAGCAGGAAGTATAACACAGTCACACACACACACACACACACACACACACACACACAACTGCAGCCACAGCATAACATGCCTGAGCATCCCAAGCTACAGGTGGGTCCATAAACACAAACGGAACGGGTGTGTACTGTATTCAGCTGGTTTAATTAATTCATGATGACTATACTATTTCCATTTGGTGTCAGATATTCTGAAATGATAGGGGATGGAAACTAAATCGGGCATTGGCAACTTTTAATAATGGCAAAACATAAGGCATGAAAAATTGCCACAGAAGCATGTCGTTGACACTCTTTCCTATCAATTTGTATTTTGATTTTCAGTAATGCATAGTGAGAACAATCAAGTACATACAATCCTGATGTTTAATTGATGTTTCTTAATCTACCACTGCCCTCTGGTGGAGAGAGTGGTGATGTACCGTTTTGAACTTAAAAGGAATCCAAATCGTGCCTTTTTCGTGCCTATATTTACATTGGAAATGTATTTTTTATTATTATTATAATTTTGTATGATTATTATTCTATTTCTTTTTTTTTTTTATTCTTTTTTGGCGGGGAGCGGGGGGTGGCTGCGGAAGTGTGAGAGGTTTGTATGTGTAGCAGTTGGAAGTTTTGTTTGTTTGTCTGTTTGTTTTTTTTGTTTTGTCTCGTGTGTGTCCGATTGGAGTGTTTGGGGTTTTGATTGGGTCTGGTTCTGGGTCCACTGTCCCTGGGCCTGCACGTGCGGCTGCTGGTGGACCGGGTCTCGGGTCCTTCCTGCCTTCTTCAGATTGCTGGAGCGGGGCGGGTGGTGGCGCCCCCTATTCATGCTTATCTGAGCACAATCTGTGTGAAAGTGCGTGTTCTGCACATCGGTGCTTATATACACACACACACACACACACATACTAACTCATTTGCCCAGACACACACCTTTGAGCTTCCGTGCAGTTGGCGTACAAAATTGGAAATATATCCTGTCTGCCATTACTACCCGTTTCGTGGCGGCCTTTAGTTTTTGCTGCCTGTTTGTCTGTGTGTGTCTCTTTCTTGTGTCTGCTTTTAGGTGCTCCTACAGGTTCTCCCCCGGGTTTGTCTGCAGTATTTTTTTGCTGTTTGTTTTTGTTAGTTTGTGTGTGTCTCCCCGTAGTGTTTGTTTGCAGGTTGTCCCTCGGGTTTGCCCACGGTGACGACAGGACATCTTTCTACAGATACAGCAGCTGGATGGATGGTTTTGTTGTTTCTCTCTTCTCTTCCTGTTTTAGGGATATCTATTTTTCTCTCCTTTCCTGTCCCCCGGTCAGGTTTCACATTAACCATATTACTTCTGTAACAAAAATAAATCTTAAATAAATAATAAAGCAGTATTGGAAGATCAAGGGAGGCTTGGCAAATCAAAAGTGTCGGGAATTCCTTCTCTGGATTTGTTTTTATTGCTTTCTATAGAATCTTTGCCATTTGAATATTAAAAATGTATTTTTGTCTTACTGGCTTTCTATTTTGCCTGTTGACATCACACATTCTAATTTTGTACCACTGTCTCCTCAGCTGCACTCGGTACACATTTTACCTTAAGATTAAAATCGAGAATTCAGCAAAATACAGAAGTGAGACATGATTGTTTTGATGTGTAAACCAACTCTAGCTGTCACTGCCATACTGTCACTTGGCAAGAAGCAATGTATTCCCTGGACAGGTTGCCAGCCCATCACAGGGCCACACAGAGTCATAGGGGAAACGCATGCTCACCTTGTGGTCAGATTAGAGTTGCCAAGTCATAAAAAATGCATTTTTGTGGAAGGTGGGAATAAGACAGGGCATCCCCATGTGCATAACTCAGGAAGAACCCTGAAACTCCATACAGGAAGTTTACCACTGTGCACCCATCAGTGCACTGCTATAAAGGTTTCAAAAGTTACATTTGCAGAGGGGTTTTTGTCACTTCAGAATGAGATTATGTCTTTTAATTCGGTCATTTCCATACTACAATGCAAAGGAGGATAAACATCGGTAACGATTTTAGAGAAGCAGCCCATCAGTCTGGAAAACAGTTTAGACAATCTACAGTAAGAAAGATTATTATAAACGAAAACATGCAAGATGAATCTCAATTTACAAGAAGACGGTAATCATTAATTCTGTAACATTTACATATTTTTAAATTACACATTACACAGAACCAAGCTGAATGAACAATTTATTTTAGGGAGCATCTTCTCAGTTAGTTCTGAGAACTCATCTCACCTCTGGTAAGGTGTTCTGGGCCAATCCCACCCAGAGGAAGCTCAGAGGAAGACCCAGGACACGCTGGAGGGATTACGTGTCTCAGCTGGCAAAGCATTAGATAAATAAAATA